TGAGGCAAGGAGATTTAAAGAGCCATAGGTATCTTTGAGGTAGGATGATTCCTTTCACAATGTGGGGAAGGGCGGGCAAGGAGAATTCCCAGAATGCCCAGCCAAGAGTGCACCCTGCACATCTCCTCCTGCCCCATTGTGCTCCGCCAACGGAGGTGCCCTTCTGGACCAGGTGAGAGCCTGGCTCGTGCACTTTCAGAAGTAGCCTGTCTCCCATATCACAGCTGAATGGCTTAGACTGCTTAGAAATCCAGCCACTGCACTCTGTTTGTATCACCCCCCCACCTTCTCATTCCAGAATGTTCTTTACTCCAATAAAGCAGACGGGTATTGACATTTTCTTCCCCTTAACTTACGTAAAGACCCTTGGATCATAAAACCTAACTAGTGAAAATGGTGAATGCTTTTTCCTGTAGATCTTAACTGGCTTGCAGATTATGGTTATTTATAATAACAACAGTGAAACCAATAAATGTTGTATTTACAGGTTGACATAGTAACTGGCTTTGGGAGACCAGCCTTCTGCTCTCGAAGTTTACGGCTATTTAGCCCGTAGTTTGAAACTGAGTGGGTGGCAATTTTTACTTATATATCGATAAGAATAAACTCACTTTCAAAGTGAAGAGGTCGTAGATTTTTCTTCCTGTTACTTTCAAAATGTGTCACATAGGAAGGTCCATTTTTGACTCACTGCCATTTGAGAGTGTAGTGTAGTGCTAAAAACACCAGCCCCCAAATTAGGAGTGGACCTTGCGAGCTGTTGACTTCGGCCAGACTAGGTTTCCTCATCTGTAATAGGGCGGGTGTGAGAAATACAGGAGTTAATATGTATAAAGTATACGTAGAATTGCACCTGGCAGATGGCATATACTGTTTAAACGTTAGCTATTTTTGTTAGCTGCTTTACCAATAATCACGTTATTATCATTATTATTTCCATGTACAATGTTAGATGTAGATGGGACCAAAATATAATTGTATGAGAATTGGAAAGAGTGAGCCTTGATTTGCACTGATATTTCTGTGGATTTGTATTGCTACCTGTGCTCTAGTGCCTTCCTATTCACCTTTACCCATCAACCCTGGCCCCTCCTGGTTGAACCTGTTGCTCAGTTTACGATATGGGTTTCAAGTTCCCCAAAGAATTTTCACCACCCTGCTTTCTCGGCTCCTAAATTGACTGAAGTTTGAAAGAAACTCAGGCTATTCAGAGCCACCCTTATTCTGCCTGAGAGGTTTTACTGCTCATCATATGCCCCAAGTCAGCTTGGTCTCGGGCAGCCAGTGTCGCAGTCTTCAGCCCACAGAGAAGCCATCAATCTGGCTTTGGGAAGACAGGTCTCAGACAAGGGCTATTCTTCATCCGCACAAGCCCCTCTGATCCTTGCTTATCAGACTTTCAAGGTTTTCTTCATTACCTAGTATATCTTTAGAGTGTTTGCTTTTTTTTTTTTTTAATAAACTTTGACTCCTTTTTCTTTGTTTTATTTGGGGGGGCATGGGGGGCACGAACTTCAGTCTGTTAAGCTAGTCTCTAGTTTATATGCCAGTTATTTGGACCACATTTGTTAATACAAATGAAAGTAATTATTTCTTGAAGCTCTACACTGGGTTCTTTTTGAAATTGAATCAGTACGCTTTTGGTAGACTATTTACAAAACAATCGTGGGTGCTTGTGTAGTAATAAGAGAAGGCAAATGTGAATCATGGCAGCTAATTTTGCAATAGAAAATCATTGCCATAGGCCATATTTCAACAATCATGTTTGTGCAATGAATGGGTTAGCTAGGATGATTAATATCAAATATTAAAAAATATCTGCAAAGTGTTCAGTTCAAATGTGCAGGTTTTATGTTACTGTTTAGCTTGCAAACAATGGCCTTATTGGCTGCCATATTTAAGTCGCATTTCATCATACAGTTCTTTCAGCAAGAGCAGAGGAGAGAGGTAGGAGAAAAAGATGAACCCATTATTTGGGAGACATGAACATGTATTACGAATGTCAGTGTTATTGGAAGATGTGTCTCTGAAGCGCGCCACATTCTGTGTGCCCTCCCCGATGGCCTTACTCGCCTTGTCCTTCGTTTGGCCTCTGGTGATCTCGTTCACCACCACCTGCCCTGGGACTCTCTCTTCTCCTAACTCTGTACTCTCTTAGCTCTTCTTATGAGTCCGTAACAGTTCATTTTCTGATTCCTTAGAAAGCAACTCGGTAAATTCTTCATGTTGCTTCTGAACTTGGTTATTGTGGTGAATTCTACCGGTAGATTTTCTGATGTTGAACTTGTTGAACTCCATCCTTGTGTTTCTGGATTAAACCTACAGGGAGAGAGAGAGGGGGAGAAAGAGAGGAAGGAGGAGGGGAGGAGAGAGAGAGGAAGGGGGAGAGAGAGAGAGGAAGGGGGAGAGAGAGAGAGGGGAGAGAAAGAGGGAAGAGGGGAGAGAGAGGAGGGGTGGAGAGAAAGAGAGAGGAAGGGAGAGAGAGAGAGGGAGAGGGAGAGAGAGAGGGAGAGGGAGAGAGGGAGAGAGAGAGGAAGGGGGAGGGGAGGAGAGAGAGAGAGAGGTGTGCTAATACAGGTATTTTCTTAGGAATATTTTCAGCCATGTTCTTAAATGAGGTGGCCTGTGACTTTTCTTTCTCATAATGTCCTTGTCTGGCCTGAGTATCAAGATTATCAAGATCATAATAATCTGAAAACTGCAGAGAGAAGAGATTTACCTTTTTGTCTAATGCCTGACATAATTTGTATAAAATTGAGATTACATGTTTCTTAAAGAGTTGATAAAATTTGCATGTAAAACTGAGCCTGCAGCCATTTATGACATACTATGCTTGGGAGTTTGTTATGTATTTTGTTTGAAACAAAAGAGTACAAAGAAACTACATTTTTACAGATTTTTTGTTTGTTTGTTTTAATGAGGGGAGCATGCTTATTCTTATAGGCAGAGAGGAAGGGCATTTATAACATCAGAGATACTAGAGGAAAAAAAGAGGTAATTTAGGGAAGGGATCAAAGACAAGGGAAGAGATGGGCTAGAAGCCAAGTTGGAGGGACTGGTCACAGAAAAGAGGCTGAGCCCCGCAATTCCGATTTTATAGGGCAAGTTGAGAGGACAGGTATTGCCGCGGGCATATTTTCAGTCAGAGACGGGGTGGGTGCAGGAACTTTCTGCCAAGGCCCACCTGGTACCCAGTAAGAAAGAAGGCTGGGTGATTCACAGAGTTGAGATGGACGGACCTTTTGAGTGAATGCACATTCAAATCAAAACAGAGGGGAATAGGCAAGTTAGCCAATTGTGATCTAGTGTTAACCATAAAAATACAGTTTTAATGGGGAAATGCATTAGAAATTTAAATAAGGAGAATTGCACACTATTGACAGAACTGTATGCTGTTAACTCTCCCCCCCCCCCACCTGTCTCCTTTTATTACCTGAGGGTGTTTTAGGAAGTGGCATAACCACCTTCCCTTTGCTCAGTGTAGTATATCTCTTCATCCTGGTTTCTCTTTGTCACTCTCTTCCAATTCCTCTAAATAAAAAGAAAGGTAAATGCATGAGGAGCAAGTTTCACCTAAGCCTCCAGCCACCTTTCTATGTAGGAATGCTTCCTATAACTATAAACACCTGTACACACCTGTATTAATAAATACTGTGTTTAAAGAAGGCATTAGTGCCAGTCCTTTAACTGATTTATAAACTCCTGGAAGATCCGTTTATTAATAACTTTTTATAGCTCCAGTGCCTGTACATACTTTACTATATGTAAGTATTTTGTTTCAATTGACTTGCCTATAAAATGAAGAAATTTATATAAAACACTAAAAAGACTCAAGATGCCATACACATTAAAACTGGAAAAACCAAATAGCAGTCTCTATATAAGTCAATGTGGCTTCCTGTAAGCAGAGTAGAACTTTCAGTACATGTCACCCCCCCCCACCCCGCAATAACTGTAAGTAGAGAAATGCCATATTTATATACAATGCTATTGCTTGAAAAGAGTCCATCTCATTTACGTCAATGAAGGCATTTCTACAGGACCTGTTATGGGGCATGGGTGTATTACCACATTAGATCTGTTTTTAGCATCTGCTTTTGTGGAAAGAGATGAGTCTTGTGCTGCACATTTTTTCCTGGAACCGATAACTTTGTTGATTTGACAGTTATTATGTGCCTGTTTAGTCAATGTACTGTCACTCAAATGCTAAATCCAAGGAAAAAGGCAATCAGATAGCAAGGTTAGTTCAGGGATACCGATAAGGCGTGGCACAATGGCACACCTTCATCTCCTTTCAGTGTCAGAAATGAGCTAAGGAAAGTTGCAAACATGGCCCATGAAGCTGCACTCTAGGCTAGAGGCTGGTTAATAGGATTTAGTAGTGCTTGTAAAAACCTGTCTCTAAAGAGCAGCTGTTTCCTGATTTCCCTTAGGGGGAAAAAATGCAAATAAGGCCTCAAAGTAACTGTGGATTTCTCATCTAGGAAGGACTGATGTGTTTAACAAGTCTAATCCTGGGGCCAAAATAGAAACCCAAAGGATGGGGACTGGAACGTCCACTTTGAAAGAAGGCAAATGGGGCTCTTCTGTTTGTCCTTGATCCTAAGGAGGGCTTTTGTGACTTTTCCCAACTCTCCATCTCTTTCCAGTCAAGTTGCGTGGCAAATGGTCTTGTGTGCATTCGGTGGTCCTCGGACGAGCCGTGTGAATGCTGTGTTAATTTCTGCCCAGCCTAGAGCCGACAGGAAAATGCACATCTGGCTTGTACATCACAACCAAGCACGGATCCTTTGCTCCCTCTTTACTGGCTGGTTGTGCTTCGTGCATTACACATTCTCAGTGTGGAGTATGTGACATCCTGATGGAAACCTCCAGCGGCCCCTCAAAGATCACATCAGGGGACCTTCAAGTCCTCTCTGAAATGTCATGTGTGCTACCTGAAGTCCCCAGAGGAAAAGTCATTCATTTTTATCTTTTTATGTATTTATTTTTCCATTTAGAAATTGGCCCCTGGTTACGCGAGTTCAGAGCGAAGAATGCTGTGGATTTCTCGCAGTTAACATTTGACCCAGGACAGAAAGAACTTGTTGTAGGAGCAAGGTGAGAGATCTTACGTTTTGCCACTGCAGATATCTGCGGCCTTCATTGTACATCTGTGCAGTCACACATGAGCTGCTCTGCAAGAGTTGACAAGTGCTGAGTAACGTTTCTTCCAAGAATGAAATACAATATGAGTGTCATAAAGTATACTACTAATGGTAGGATGTCTACTGTAAAAGCAAGCATTTATCGGGCCCTTCCCATGTGCCAGGAACTGTTCTAACATGTATTCATTCACTTTCTTCTCCCATGGAACCTGAGAGGTAGGTATCGGCAACATCCCTGTTTTAGACACAAGGAAATTGAGGCTGGAAGTGGATAAATATGTTGTCCCTGGGCATATGTTTTATGTGTAATAAAAGATGGACCCCAGTTTCAGACCCAGGCAGTTTGACTGAAGAAACCATGTTCTCAACTTCTCACTGGATTCTTCAGTAATACTCTAGAGATCAAGAGACCAAAACGTCCACTCTGGCCCATGTTGCTTTTCTTTGTAAGCTCGATTAGGCCATTCACCAGTCAATTGATAGTTTGAGGAAGTTGTTACTATTTATGCCTCTTAAGGTTCATGATCCTGTATCCAGGTCAACATGTGACATCCCAGTTTGACAATGAGGCCACTGGGACACAATCAGCACAGATCTTGAGTTGTTTTCCTCATACTTACCATGACTTCCTTAGAGACTGTGCATAATCCTTGCATTCAAATCACCTATCCTGCCAGTGTATTTTGAGGTTGATGTATAAACAACACTTTTTATTCATCTCTTAGGAAAAGTGACATTGAATTTGAAGAAAGAGGCCATTTGTAGATTTGAAACCTCATGGCCACCAAGGAAAGCACTTTGGGCAATGGAGGCTCACGTGTCTTGCCCAAATTCACTAGATTATAAAACACACCTTTCATATTCATAGCAAGAGAGGTTGTACAGTTCCCATGTCGATCTGAGTAAAGCTAAATCAGGCTTACGTTCTGGGCGCTCTAGATGAACACCGGACAGCTTCTAGGACTCTGCTTTTGCTCTCAGGTCTAAAAGAGCTCTTGTGCATCCACCCAACACTTGAGGATGTTAAGATGTGTGGTCGTAACTTTAAATGAATAGACAGAAATTGGTTTAGTTCCTGACACTGAACATGTGACCTGTATCTCTTTTGATGTTTGTGTATAGACAGTGAATATGGGCTGGCTGGGCTCACTGGGTGTGTTTTTGCTTACTTCAGAAATACCGGGGAGGTTTCCAATGCTGCCTTCCATCAGGTTCCATCACTGGGAGCCTGCTGTATGTCACAGGGAGTTTTAACTGTTAGCAAGGGAACAAGGGAGTGGCAGTCTCTGAACCCCAAAGCCACCCCTTAGAGAAAACCAGCTCTTTCCTTTAGCCAGGCAGGAACAGCGCCCCCTGCTGGGACAGCCGGTGCATCTATGACCCCACCTGGTGTAGCTGTGTCTAGCCTCCCACATTCAACTCTAAAGAACTTTCTGGTGAGGTTGACTCAAAAGACTCCTCATTGTTTCTGGAGGTTTCACAGGCAGCCCTGCACCGCTATGTACGCTCTGCCGCTGGTTGGCATTTGGTCAGTGACACACATGCTCCTAATGGATGTAAGAAGCCACTGAGCAAAATGAGACTTAGAAGAGACACATCATGTTCCTGCCCTGGCTGGAGACAGCACCTGGCGAGTGTCCCCAGGGAACACCCATCCCTGAAGGTCTCAATTCCGGTGGCCCTGGAGGTCCCACCTGTGTTTCCAGAAGCCTGCATCCGCCTCATCCCACCACAGAGCCAGCCTAGCCACACTGAAAGGTATTGGACTAGCCACTGAGTCAGCTTGGCACGTGGTGTGGCCTGGTGACCTGGAGAAATCGGATCTCCAGATTTAGCACATGAAAGTCCAGGATGTTTGGTTAAGTTTGAGTTTCAGATAAGGGACCCTGGGAGCATGGGCTGTATTTTCTATCCTAGAAGAGTCCGTGGTATGTTGTAGATACTCGATAAACAAAGGAAAGGAGTTGACTGGCCTTGCTTAGAGGTGTGACCTTGAGCCTACTTCAGAGTCTAATTTTCTCTTCTTTAAGGTTGATATAATTATTTCTACTCCTTTCAGCTGTTGTGAGGATTAAATGAAATAATCCATGAAAAGTGATTGTCCCAGTAATGGGCACCCGGGCAGCACACAGCCTTAGGGAACTCTGAAGATATACATGGGTTTTGGCCTACGGGTGCGGATATCGCTGAGTGAGAATAGCAATTTTGCCTAGGAAACCTGGTGGGTTGAGGCTCAGAATGTTTGAAAAGAGTGTGAGCCAGTTATAAAACTAAAAATAACCCAGCCCTCTGATTCCTGTGTGGGAGGGCTTGACCCAGCAAAAGCAGTTTAGATAGCAGGTATATATTTTAGAAGTCTGAAATGGTTTACATATATGAGCGGTGGAAAAATGTTGAGAGTTTTTTTGGTTTTGTTTTTCTTATCAGCACTAGGCTTTGTAAAGCCATTTACTGGATGGTTTTACTGTATACCAGCGGTACTTTATGTTCCTGAAATTGAATTCAGTTCAAGATTCTTTGCAAAAAAGAAGTTCATTGTGTTGCAAAAGAAAAACTTGTCTTTAGGCGATTTGGGTATGTAGTTCCAGAAGTTTTGGTCTGAATTCATACAATTTCTGGAAGGATCCCTCAATTTACCGTTTGCATGGAGCACATTATCTTTCATAATATTTTAAAAGCACTGACGTTCATATCCTGTTTTAACCAAGGATCCTTAAAAATTTATAATGTTGCTGTTTTCAATGATGAGTTTCAGGCATTTTTATTCTAGAAAATGTGGAAAGTACAGTAAAGCATAACACACACACACACGATTTCGGAAATAATCTGTTAACTTTTTTAGTTATTTCTCTGCATTATTTGATTTCTGTTGGTTTATACTATTGTGATAATATTTTATCAATGATTTTTATACTTCTCTGTCAAAAAACCTACTAAAAGCAGTTCCTATGATATGTAGACATCAAGAAAAATTCCAGAATGAGTTCCAGAATTCTACAATGCTATGTTGTGCTTTAGAGGTTTTTGTATAGATAATTATAAAAGGAATGATAGTAATAATAGACCACAAAGTTGACACAAGTATAAGTTTCCTGCATTTAGGATTGTAACAACAGATGTAAGAGAGGGTGATTACATTTTTTATTCTCCAAATGAAAATGTTGTTCTTTAGTGTTTCAAGTTCATTGTAAGGACGGCAAGTGATTCTATGCTGAATTTAAATGTTATTTCAAATGGCAACTAACTTGGTCTGCACACAGTGCAGTATTTGGCAGTAATTAGGGCGTTTATAAATTAGCCATATTTTTATAAAGCATAAAGCCATGCAGCAATAAGGATAAAGAGCTTCTCATCAAGGAGAATGGGGGTTTATTTCAGCTTCTTTTATTTGTGTGTTTCTTGATCTTTCTGTTATTTTCTTCCTGTAACTTGATTTCTGATTATCTTACTCTTCTCTAACAAGCGTCAGTGTTGTATGAACATATAAATTGAAGGACATCGTCTTGCAACCTGTGGAATTTCCATAAGAACACTCACCTGTAAGCTCTCACACAAGCACCTGAGTCAGGAGGCCCAACCATCTGCTTGTAAGGTGGTGGGATTGAAGCCCACACAGCCAGTACTTGGGTCAGGTACCCATCCTAATTGAGTACAAATATACCGATTTACATCCTTGGAGAGTTTAAATTTTAATTCTATTAAAAAGGCATCACAAAATGGGAACATTATAAAGATATCAAGAGAATGGGTCACGGGGATGCCTGAGTCTCCTTGCAACACCTGACGTGATGTGAGTCCAGCCCACTGTGCAGCGTGCATGGAACTTGCCATTATAATCAATGGACTATTTCCATTTATTGGAAGATATTTCTGTATATATGTCTGTACAATAGATGGTATAGATTTCTTTTCTTTTTAATTAAATTTATTGGTGACAGTGGTTAGTAAAGTTACATAGGTTTCAGGTGTACAATTCTGTAATACATCATCCATATATCACATTGTGTGCTCACCACCCAGAGTCAGTTCTCCTTCCATCACCATATATTTGATCCCATTTACCCTCATCTACCACCCCCTCTCCCCTTACCCTCTGGTAACCACTAAACTATTGTGTGTGTCTATGAGTTTTTGTTGCTTTATTTGTTTGTCTTCTTCCTTTGTTGCTTTCAGTTTTATATCCCACATATCAGTGAAATCATATGGTTTTTGACTTTTTCTGTCTGAGTTGTTTCGCTTAGCATAATAATCTCAAGATCCATCTATGTTGTGGCAAATGGCACTATTTCATCTTTTCTTATGGCAGAGTAGATTTCTAATCAGCATGTTTATTACTAAAACCCGAGTGCTTCCAAGGCAGAACTTGGTCTTGCTAACAGTCACAACGAGCTGGACTTGAAAAATTGTAGTGTATTATTTTGAACCATTTGTTTTGCTCATGGCTTGAATCTACAAAACTAAAGATAAAAAGGAAAGATAAATGACTTCTGGTGTGCTGGGTCTGAATTTGCTTTAAGCATTCAAAGCATATATTCCCAGAAGATCGCACTGAACGAAGGGGCACTCTTCTGTTTAATTGGAATCAGTTCCTTTTTTCAAAATGATTTTGCCCCTGGTTCTAAACAAAGGGAGCTACATTTTAGATTCATATAAAAGTCATTTTTAAAAATTGACTAATATCACTCTCTCCCTTTGGTGGTTATAATTCCTATTTTTAAAGTTTTACCTTAGAATTAATCTGTTGGAAGCAGCATATAATTAAAAAGAAACTGGAGATTTTTATTCGACTTCTGCTTTGAGTAGCCACAACCTCTATTTTCCCAAGGCTATTATTTCAGTCAAGTTTACACATTAAAGGTAACTCCTGCTGACTGGAATGAACTCAGCAATTAGGAGTGAATCCAAAAAGCAATAGACCCCCATCGTGCAAAGAAATCCCAGGTAATGATGATG